GCCCCGGAGAGCCCGCAGCCACGCGCTTTCCTTGTGTCATGTGCGCCTTCTCCCATGTGCCCCCATACCCTGCCATTATCCGTGATGCACGGGCAGTGGCCACGTGCGTCGGGGCCAGTGACACCTCAGGCTACACGGCAGAATGAGGCACTGGGGGAGGAACGGGAGGAAGTCCCCGCTGCCGCTCACGCGGGGTAGCGTTTGGGAGACCTCTGATGGCTGCGCAGCCATGACCTGCGCTGGGAGACAGAGCGGGATGGATTTCGGCAGACGGAGGAGCTGCGCTATCAGGTGAAGCGAGTATCCCCTGCTCTAGCGACTGAGGGCAGACCAAGCTGGACTGCGTGTTCCAGGATGACACGGAGGACACCGGAAGTCCCGGGGAGGGCGGTTCATGCGAGGGACGGTCCGGCTGCTCGTATTCTCCTCAAAGAGCACGGCGCACAGATAAGAGGACTCACTGGGGGGGCCTGGGGCGTCCACATGCCCCCTTCACCTTTCTCTAGGGAGGGGAGAGACTGATCACGGCCGTCTCCTCCCAGCTTCCCATGCGCGCTTCCCTGGGGGCGTGGCTACTTCAGGTGGTCTGCAGGTGAGCGCGGCACTCCAGAGCCTTTCTCACCTGTCAGCGCCTGCCTCGTAAGGGACGGGTAAGTGACCGCAGCGACCAGGGCGGCCCAGTAAGAACAGGCTGAAAGAGGAGCCACGGGCACAGCTCGGGGAGCACTGACTCCAGGGGAACAAGTGGGGAGAAGCCCAGGAGCGAGCGGGAGTGTGAGAAGGGAAAGGGCCAGGAGAGCCCTGGGTGTGCTGAGAACGGCCAGGAGAGAACATTTCGAGGAAAAAGGAGTGTTCATCCTTGTGGACTTGACACAGGGGTTGAGAACCAGGGATAAGGAAACGGAAGCATTGACTTTGGGGACGTTCAGGAAACATGGCGGTGAAGTCGCTGGTAGATTGCTAGTGTTCAGTGCATATTTAAGAGTGAAATGAAAGGAACGGGGAGCAGACTCTCGGAGAAGCAGCAGATGAAGGGAGACCATGCTTTAGAGGCGGAGGAGCCCGTGGGGAGGGCGAGTGGGGAACACAGGCGGGAGAAGGCGGGAAAGTCTGCAGCCCGGAGAGCAGAGCAGGGCGGGACTAGGGTTTATGGCGAAGGTAATCAGGGGACACTGATGGGACTCCGCTTTTGTCCACCCACAAAAGTAAGACTGCGGAGGATGATGCCTGAGAGGGCCGCCCTGAAAAGCTAATCAGCACCCCTAGGAGACAGCGTGCTTTCTGGCTTTGAGTTTGTCTTCTTGGCCTTCCCTTCCAATTCCTTCCTCCTGTTCAGGGTTGACACTGTAAGAGAGTTCGACTCTTCACGTGCGTTTGCACTTCCTTTGTGTGGTCACCCTAAGTGCAGGGGACTGAGTGGTAGTGCGGGGCCTGTGTGCGCCATGATCATGCTGTGACAGCTGCCCAGGCCAGGGGACTCCTTACAGCCTCACTCTCAGACCTGTTACTCGGAGGGACGGAGCTGGAGGGCTGGGGCTGGGCCAGAGTCTCTGAGAGTCCTTTCAGCTCTCACACCTGTAGATCTTAGGTTTTCAAATTCTTTATACAGATAGTAACCTGAAAAGGTAAAGAAACCCTACAAACATACATTTTTCAAGTGGCACATGTGCAAATCTTATTCCTTAAGTATTTAAACTAAAATTATTTTATCATGCAATGGCTTATGTTTATGCTTTATAACTGAAGCTGACACGACCTCTGTAAGGGGTTCCTGGAGCAGGTGAGAGGAAGCGGAGGAGAGAAAAGGGCTATTTTTCCAGGAAGGCAGGCATGAGCACAGGATGAGCTCCATGTTTACTCTTCTCTGCAAACGGGGCCATCTGGGGACACAGTGGCTGCAGCCGGGAGAGGTACGTCATCGCTGCTGTGCATACCCTAAGATTTCATGAGTGTTGTGGAAGAAGGTGTTTAGCTCGGGACTTCTCTGCCTTCTCTAGGTCGCGTCCTAAAGCTGAACCCAGGTCGGTGCTGTGTGGAGCGGAAACTGTTGTGGGAAGGCTGTGTGTTCGCCCCGCGCCCCACAGGTCGTGAAGCTCTGTGCCTGTTCAGTCCGCCAGACTCCCCAAGGCTGCTGTTGGCATGTGTGGGGGTGCGGCACAGGGCGGATGCTGATTTCCAGTGGGCTTACACATATGTCCAGGGGATGCTGGCTCCTACAGACGCCTGCCTCCCCATCTGCAGGCTGGACCACCGTCACCTGGACATCCCAAATTCCAGGAGACCAACACTGAGCTTGAGAGGGAAGGCGGGGAGCAGCGGGACGTAGCAACAAGGCCTGCTTTCCTGAGTTAGAGACGTTTTCACTTCTTTCACTCAAACCCAAAAAAGGCTTGAACGGGACTTAGAAGGGCCAGGATAACAGAACTTTTCAGAGATCATAAATCTAAGGTTGTACAGATGAAGTTTTACACGTGTTTGAATGCTGCTTCTAGAATGAAGTAGTTATAGGCACTGAAGGAAGTCGTCCAGAGTCTGTCGCCTGTGAACGATGCCCACTGCTGCCCAGCCATGAGCGGGCCATCAGGATTCCTAAGCTGGCACCACTAAACCTGTGGCAACAGCGCTTTAGTGTTGCACGTGTGTGTCTGATAAGTACTTAGAGGTTAGTGTGAGTTTTCTGTCAAAGTTCATATTATAAAATATAGGACATGCGTTTCAAAAGGGTAGTGAAATTTAAAAATAAAACACCTGAGAGAGGAAGCACGAAAATCTCATTCTTACCTTCATTGAGTACGGCCTCTTTTGTTGGATAATACTCATTATTGTTCTGAGTGTTTGAGAATACGGGTTTCCCACCTTAGGCAGTGATGTCTACAATTAAGAAAAATCAAAGTTTAAGCTCCAATATAATTTATAGCATTTAGATAGAAGCAGCAATAAGATTATTAGAATGTTAAAGTTAAAAAACATCCTTTTAAACCATATATTTGACTATTGACTTAGTTCATTTACCTAAGCATCAAAAATATGAAAAAATGCACTAAAAATTGTTGGTATACATTTCTACCAGTAAACTGTCTTTTGAAAATAAAAACCCTCTGGAATGTGACACATGTATGTCACTGAAATGACACAACAGGCACACGATTTATGCAAAGCATGTCCTTGGACCATTCACCAGGATGTTTCGTCCCTGGATATTTCAGGGCTACGCTGAGAGAGGACGTACTTCATTCCTTCGGCAGGTCAGCAGCAGGACCCGGAGGCAGCACCAGGCGGGGAACGCTGCCCATGGGCCACCGTTCAACAGTAAACCACCGCATGCTGACTTCTCAAGGGAACTGTGGCCTCTTCAATTTCTCTGGGAGCTGGTCAGTGGTCCCCAAGAAACACTATGCAGCTGCACGTGGCCTCCGGGGAGGATGTGAGGACCTGAACTTAGATTTTGTCCAGTGAAACAGGAAAATGCTAATGCTTTTCAGCCGGAAGCCACCAAGAGTAATCATTTGTGAGTTCACCGCTGAAGGGGGTGGTTACAACATTTTACCCCAAGTCATAAGTCTCAGGGAAAGATGGTGGTCAATAGCTTTCATAGGAGTTGTAAGGAAAAACAGAAATTCATCATTTATATTTATATTCCATCTGCTGTTTGTATCCTCTAACATTAAGGTAGATTTTTTTTATTCAACAAATAGAATGAGTGCACTTCACGTATACGTCTCAAAGTGCCCACTGCATCTAAAGAGGAAGTGACATTTGGTGTTTCTTTTGTTCAGTTTTCTGCAGAAGGTTGAAAGGAGGTATGTGACAGAGGCACAGACCTTCCAATCTGCTTTGTGGTGGAGACACTGGCTATTTCATATGTGCACTCAATTCAGCAAGTAAACGTTTAACATCAGCTTCATCAACACATTGAAATTAGAGGCCACCTTCAATTCCATACAAACATTCTTCAGACTCATAGCTCTTTGCCTACTGAATTTTGTTTTTTATTGTTTAAAACTGCATTTCTAGTCATTACTTAATTTCAACCACATGCAGACATCTTACGATTTCTAAAAACTTCATCTTCACCTTACAACTAGTTCTTTTAAAACTATCCTTTTGACACCTGTATGGATACGAGCTCTCTAATCTGACTGCCTACCTACAGCTTTAAATCCTGCCCTCCCTCCGAGACGCTACCTATCACCTTCATACCAGAAACGGAGCAAGTATGTCGCCTTGGGCCATCTTTCTGTAACATAAGGGAGGCTTCAGGGAACAAAGTGCTGAGCTCCAGGTGTGGTTCATAGGAATTCACCATGGAGCGGAGTGGGACAGTGACCACCCCCGGGCAAGGCAGTGACCGCCACCAAGCGAGGCGGGACGGTGACCGCCACAGCCCAAAGCCTCAGGATGGCTTCAGCTCTCGTCTCTGCCGCTCCCTCCCAGAGAGCTTGTCCCCAAGCCTCAGCCAAGTCATCTATAAGATGTGAATGACCACACCTGTCTCACTGACTTATTACAAGAATGAAGTGGAAGGGTGTGTCTGGAGTATTCAGAGCACAGCGACACACACAGTAAATGATCCAGAGACATTAGCAAGCTCTTCGGGTGCTTGTATAATACTTTCTGCAGATAACTTTATACCAGCTAATTGTTATTCATCAAAACATGAAATTCTCCTATTCTTCTACAGAACTATATGCCTCCTGGTGCTTTCTTCTTTGTGACCCATAGTTTCACATGAACAAAAAACATGTAAGAATTTGCACTTTACCCCCAAAACTGAAAAAACACCCACCATCTCTGTGTTGACGTGTGCCAAGGATGGCACATTGAACAGCCCCTGGATGAGTTCTGCGGGGCTGCTGGCTCCCAACCACAGGAACATGTGCAGGCCGTTAGCCAGGAGGAATATCCCGTCCTCGGAGAGACGCGATTCGGAGCAGCGGACGGCGCTGGGCAGTGCTGTGCCGCTGACGTCTAACGTGTGCTGGGCAGACAACGGCAGAGTTAGGAACCTAGCTCCCCTTCCCCTCCTCGCCGCCTGCCCACCCCTCCTGCCCTGCCAGGGCTTGGCACTCCTAGTCACTGTACCGCCATCCCTCCTTGTACTGCTAATGCATCTGGGGAGGGAAGAAGACACAACAAATAAACTAAGTAAACTATACAGCATGCTAGACTGTGTGAAGTGCGATGAAGGGAAAAAGCAGGAACGTGGGATAGGGTCTGTCATGCGGTGGTGGCACAATATCAACAGGGTGGCGACGGGAAGGCTTGCTGAGAAGGAACTTTGGAGTAAAGACCCGAGGAGGTGAGAAAGAGGCATGGGGAGATCTGCAGAAGAGCATTCCAGAAGGAGGGACGGAGCATCTGGGGCAAAGATCCTGAGGCAAGAGCCTGTGCGATGTGCAGGGATCAGCAAGGAGGCCAGTGTGGCTGCGGCAGAGAGAGAAAGGGCAGCGTCACAAAAGCTGGGGTCAGACAGAAGGCGTGTGTGTGTGTGTGGGGGGTACAGACAACTCTGGGCCAGTCGCTGAGCCAGGGAGGAGGCTTGTACTGCAACGGGAAATCCCGAGGGTCCTGAGTAGAGCAGGACATGAGCAGACAATTATTTTAACGGGAGCACCCCAACTTCTGTGCCGAAAACTGCCTGAAGGCGAGGCAAAGGGATGAGCGAGGGGCTTGTTAGGCGGGGACCGCAGTCAGGAACAGGACGGGGGGGCTATGCTTGCAGCTGGGTGCTCACAGACGGGGTGGGAGGTGGTTAGACTCTGGATGTCCTTGGAAGGAGAGTGGACACGACTGCAGGTGGACGAGAAAGAATGTGGTCAAGGGGGGCAGCGAGGTGTACGGCCTGAAGTGGGAATGGAGGTGGAGGGGCAACAGGAGAGTGGGCTGGGAGGTGGGGTAAGATGCCCGTTACCCCGGGGACATGCTAGGGGGCGGCAGGGACCGCTACACCCAGAGCTCAGGGCAGAGGCAGGAACCCGGGACTCGCCAGTTTCTGTGGCACTGGAAGCCACGAGGACAGGTGAGACCCCCAGGGATGAGTGCTGGTCACAGGGAAGCTCTGCAGGACCTGAGCCTGGGAGCAGCAAGCGGCGATGCTGCCGGCCGATCAGAGGAGAGGACACAGATGCCCACTGGGTCTAGCAACGCGGTCACCGGTGACCTTGGCGATTTTAGAGGAGTGACAATGTTCTTGTCGCTTAGAGCTCTAGTGTCTCTGCATATAGATTGCTGAGCCTCCAATTTTATCTGAAAATCAATCATTTGTGATACTTTACATCTAACATCCATACTGATTGAAAGCATCGATGGCTTTTTATTTCCAGCCTAATTTAACTCTAGCCTCACTGTTACTGAGAGCCTGGGTCTGAGTTTGAGGATAGGCGTCAGAAAGAAGCCATCAGCCATCCCCTCTCCTCTCCTTCACTTTGAACCTGAACTTGTTAGGTCTCGGGGGACAAGCGCCTGCTGACAGGGCCCAGGGGCCTCTGAGAGTGAAGGGCTGATGTCAAGTAAGAAGAAGACTCTGCCGAGGAAACTGAGGACACGCACAGTTAGTCCTCGCCCAGCGAAGGCGTCCTGGGTCACGCTGGTCTGTCAGCCCGCCTGCCTGCCTGCGGTCAAGGCCGCTCTCGGCCATTCTGATCATCTGTGGAGCCTGGGTCGTGCTGCACAAAACAGATGGACGCACGTATGTCGCTTGGCCCCACACGCCGCTGTCTTTAAGCTCTCAGGTAGCTTTCTCCAGGACTAAGGCTCGGCTTGCACCAGCGTGTTTCCTCGGTTAAAGAGTACCAGTGGGGGTGTGGGGATGACCCAGAGAAGCGGGAGCCCCTCAGATCCCACCCCCCGCCCTGGCCTGCGCCTGCCGAGGTGTGCACCCTGCTCAGAGAGCCGTGAGCGTGGTGCCCCTGCACATTCTGCAGGGGGCCGAGACGCAACCTCTGTCCTCAGCTGTGACACACGGAGAAGAACTACACGCCCGCCCACCCCCGCCCCTCTGGGGGTGCCCGCAGCGTGCTCACTATTGGCAGAAGCTGCGGGTAGAAGAAAAGCTGGGAGTCGGCCACACCCATGGTCATGACCAGCTGCCGCTGGTAGGCCCGCTCGTCTGTGGAGGCCTCTGGTCTGCTGAGCAGCACGCAGGTTTTTAACAGACAGTTCATGTACACCGGCAGCACTTTCATGGAATCGGGTAAGATCAGCTGGAAGAGAAAGACATTCGCTTCAGACGCTTGCTTTACTGAGAACGGCCGCGGGCTCACTCTGTAAGTCAGAAACGCCAAGGCTGTTGTGAGGGAAAATGGTACCCCGTGCATAGCACTGCGCCCACTGCCCGGCAGACGCCCCAGCTCTACCCTTACCAGCTGTGTGGTTCTGCCAAAGAATCACTCGCTTTTTCCTGGGTTTCCTCATCTAAAAATGGGGTCACAGCACATGGCCCTCATGACCTGAGGTGGGACTGTTCTGAGCAGTGAATGGTGATTCATTGATGAAGCACTCACGTGGTGCTCAGCGCACAGCAGCACACACGTTTATTAAATAAAGTGAAGTGAATAAGTGGCGCGTCCTAATCTGTTACCAACTTGTACCTTAGTTTCAAGCTGCCCACGAGGCATCTCCTCCTTGAGGCCCCTCCATGCATCCTCAGCTCACAGCCAGTCAAACACTGAGTGAGTGCCGCCGTGTGGCAGGTTCATGCCAAGTGCCGAGGTACACAGGGGACTGAGGCACTGTGTGTGTTGCCTCCCAAGTCCATCAGGGATGACAGACATGTAAACAGATCAAGCGTAAGGACGCTACAGGTACAAGCCAGCAAGAAATGCCTCGTGGATGCAAGTATCTCTACTGAATGGGAACAGGCAAAACCAAACTCCTACAACTCCACAAACTCCTTCCTCTTACGGTTACTCGTTTAGATACTGGAGCGACCAGACGAATTCTAACTTTATTTCTTCTCACCCTCAACTAGTAAACGGATTCTTTTCATTCTCCTTTGTAATCCACCCATACCTTCCCCTCCCTCTGCATTTTCGCTCATGTACACACCATCACACGATGCTACAAATACTAACAGGGCAGTGATTCTAGAAACAGAGCTTGAAGGGTAAAGTAATTACAAATAATCTGTCCATGTTGTTTAACCTTCTCGACTCAATTTTATAAAAATGGCTAAGGATTAAGACATCAGTATGTCACTTCCTTCCACTTAGCAGTAAGTCAGCGGACAAGGAAGCAGTATTGACAGCAGATAATGATAATTTGCAAATAGAAGGATCTGGTCTGTGAATTCATGATTTCTTTTTCACTTTCTATCTTGATGATGAAAAATAGTACACACTTCTCAGAATCCCAGTGGAAAGAAAGTCCTCAGGGCTCTGCTGGGGTTTATTCCTCTACTTCAGTCCTTCGTGTCACTGGCCTCCTCCCAATCTGCTGAGTAAGGAGTGTGTACAACAGGACTTTCCCCCTGGGTCAGGCAGACGTATTCCCAACATTCTACCCCTCACAACTTCTAACCTCTCTTCAGAGAACGGAAGGCAGTTAAATGCATGCTTCTTCCTATGAGTCAAGCACGCTCTCCTTGTCATTTTTTCTCTAGCATGAAATATTTTTGACATTTGGATACTTTCTCAACCAAGGAAAACTCTGCCCCAAAGGTGGAGGAGCCAGATCGTGGTCCCACTCCAGAGCCACGTGGCCTCAGCACTGTCTCTGGGCTCATTACCAGCCAGGCCTCTGGCGGATTATGGATTAAGAATGTTCTCAGGTTCCGAGTAGAAGCATGTATGTACAGTTTTTGAATACTGTCTTGCAGTTTTACTTGCTGCCTCACATTAATCAAGTCATATTAAGACAATTTCTAATTTGTTGTTCTAAATGCCACAAAGAGGTGATCCTGGCCTAGGATGACACTATCAGGACTAAAAGTCTGATTATCGGAGACAGGGTTACAGGGGCAGAGGAAAGAGAACAGAGGATGCACATAAGGAAAACTGATGAAGAAGAAAAATGGAGTTAGAGTGACAGAAAACAAGGAGATAGTCTCAGTGGAGGTGTCTGAGGTGGGGAGCAAATGGAGCCACAGCCGGTGGCTGTGTAACCTCCCCCTGCCTGAGCCTCTCCCTAAAGGACAGCGTTGTCCTTGGGGAGGACAGTATGAGTGAGGAGGGGTGACAGTCCTATGAGTCCAGTTTGATTGAATTTGGAGAAGTCTTCTCTTTGGGTTTCAAAATGACAGAAGTGGTAATGGATAAAAAAAGAAAAAAAACCCTATTTGCAGTTAAGTCATTTGACTTGCCTTCTGAAGCCACTGTCCTCCCATTTGATGGAATATATTGTATTTAAATTCAAAACAGTGAGCAATTGGATTTAATCAAAAGAATCTACCTTCCTTATGGAAGCTTCAAAAATTGTTCTAAGTCGTCTGGAGCTCTGTGTCCCACGACCTCCACAGTGGGTGCCTGCTTCCATGTCGCACGCTAAGCAGCTCTCTGGCCTTACCCTGGTCTTGGCCCTGGCAATTCAGTGACAGCATTGTCCCGAGGCCAGTGCCATGCAGTCAAAGCACAGCCCGCCTTATTGGTCTTGTTTGGTTGGGAAATTTAGCGTTCTCTAGTACAACAGTGGGGCCCCGTCAGGGATGTCTCTACAGAGACTTTCCTCACAAGTGAACTTGCGGGGTTCCAAGTCAGAAGCTACATTCTCTGAAGAGAAGCCCAAGTCCGGCCATTCCGTGTTTTTCCTGAATGGTGTATTTTAATATATTGCTGTTACAAACAGTTTATAATCCCTACATTCTCTGAACTCATGGTAGATGATCATAAGCTATCTAAGCTGTATCATTCTTAAAGCATATCACTGGTTGAAAGATACACCTGAAATGTACTCATGGAGAAAGAAAAATCTCATCATAAGAACAGTAATAATCTCTCAAGTTTTTCAGAGAAAATGTGGCATCATAAGGTTTTTACTCCAGAAATAAACTATATAAACAGATGATCTAGTAGTAGAGACAAAGCTTTAAACTTTTTCAACAAGAAGAAAATACCGGGTTTTATTTTTTGCCTTAAATAGGCACAGATTTGTTTTTAACTTAAGGTCTCTGAATCCAGTTGTTGTAACTCTGAACAAATAAACTTCCTGAGAGGGCGCTACCTACGTGTTCTCCTTCAACCAATCCTTCTGAAGCGTAGATGCTCCAAAGACAGGGCTGTTCCCAGAATGCTAAAACAGACAGAACTGGTGTCAAGTGCTCGTAACCAGACTGTCCAACATCGCTGGTGCGCTTTGTGTCAATTAACCAAGTTCACTGTGCAGTTGTCTGATACTGGAGTTCACTAAAGGGGCCAATCTCCTGGATAATGAGAAGACGGAGCTCACGTGGAGGTTCAGGAGATGCTCCCATGATTACCAACACAGGTGATGAAAGACCAATGGATGGCTAATGCAATTACTTTGGACAGAAAGGAATTTTTGTCAAAAGCCCGAGATCAAAACCATTCTTGTTTTATTTTCCTTCTTTACCAAGATCATCAATTTGGCTCTCAAATTCGCCTGCATTATCTTTGCTGCTGAAGGCTTCCTTTTGGATGGGGTTTCAGATGTGCTCTCAGCGCCCACTTTTGACAATGACTGAGCCACAAAGTTTTCCCACCGCTGCTCACTGTCTTCTTTTAATCCAGAGTCTGTGCTCAGAAATGCAATGCACAACTATGAGAAATGGTATCCAGCTCTGATTGCAGAGGGAGGGGTGTGAGTGAGAGAACAGATGCAACAATAAAGGCGGGCCCGGGCTCCACTTCTATGGGAGAGTCCAAATGAGGTTATTTAAAAAGCTTCTAAAATTTCAAATTACTAAGATGATGGCCAGAGACAATGCTTTCAAAACTCTTCATACCTATTAACTTTTAAATGTAAAGAATTCCAATATATATAAATTCTATGTTTATAAAATATAAATAAGTCATCACTGCCATTAGCTCATGGCAGCTTTGTTAATATATCTAAAAAGTATGTAGGCACACACACACACTTCACAACCAAATGTCCACCTTCATAGACAGAGAATCCCTCGTACATCATGCTGTCTCTTACACGACATCCTTTGGTTCACACACAATGCGGTGACTGTCAACCCAACACGCACACACGTTTTTTGGTTCACACATCTTCTAAAGCCACTAAGTTCTTTAACGTTGGCTATGAAGACCATAGCCGCCCTCTTCCCCCCATGGCGTTCTCAATTTTCTTGGCTGTTTCCAAGTGCCTGGAATACCATAAGATTTCAACAGCTAAATGCTGAAAGAGCGCACTGTCGCACGTGACACGGTGGCATCCGAGTGCAGGGGTCACCCACCTGGCTGGCTGCAGATGGACTCGCACAGTTCTTTCGGTAGCATGCCAACATATGGGCGGTCTGATTCACTAGAATTTCCCGGATGACCTTCAAGGGCTGGTGCAGAACTGCTTTGAAAGCTATTTGCACAGAACAATAGAAAGGGCAAGTTTTAGTCCCTTCAAACAATAATAAAAAAAACAAACTGCTATTATCATCAGACCACTCCGCTAGGAATGATAGCCTTTAGAAACGCTGGTCACTTGCTAATTCCTCCTCTGGACTAAGTCTGATGACCGAGCCAGTGGAACAATGACTACCTATAACAAAAGGCAGACAACTAATTGGTACTGACTTTTCCTCAGAATATTAGAAATGGAACTCAATACTCAGAGAAAAGAAAGGCTAGTTTACCATCTTCTGACGTCCTGAATTTCTATGGGCTGGACTGCTGTTTCTTCTAAACCTTAGTGTAGACTCTCACATTGGGGTTTGGGGGAAGGAGGGAAGGAGCCAAAGAAAATCTCACCTCTGGCCCCTGCCATTTCACAGCTGTCATAACATTAGGGACTGTCTTCTTCCATTGTCCCCATGAGCCAGGGGCACACTCACATACCATAATGAGCCTAAGTATCACCTTCCCAAATCTCAGCTCACACCCCTTTGGAAGGAAACTGTAAATAAAACTGTACAGTGTGGGGCTTGCTCAGTTATCTCTTTATTAACCTAGAGTGAGAGATGCTGACCACTCTCCTTCGCCCTTTGCTTTTGTAAATTCTGAATTCACCCACCAAAGGCTGCACCACCACAGTATTTGTCAGCTCCTAACTGGGTTAACCAACAGGCTTGACTAAATTACAGTTGGCCCTCTGCATCGGTGGGTTCTACACATGCAGATTTAACCAACCGTGGATCAAAAATATTGGGGAAAAAACGAAGTCATGCTGTTGCTGACATGTACTGTAACTAGGCCTGTGGTGGTTGTATGGGAAATGTACAGACTTTGTCTTGTCCTTATTCCCTAACAATACACCATAACTATTATTTACAGAGCATTTACAAAGTATTATGAGTAATCTAGAGAAGAATGAAAGTGTATGGGCGGCTGAGTGTAGGTTGTATGCAAACACTGCGCCATTTTACACAAGGGACTTGGACATCCTCGGGGTCCTGGAACCCATCCCTGCAGATCCTGGGGGACGCCTGTACTAGGTACAGCGTCCTGCACCACAGGCCTAGCAAAGGTCACCTGACTTGGCGAAGAAATTGACTAGGGCGTCCGTCTCGCAGCTCTTGTAAACATCGGCCAGCTGGGAGCTGCAGTTCAGGCCGAGATTGTGAATCCGCAGTCTCCTCTGCCCGCCGACGGTCGTGTAGAGCACAGCGCACTGCAGGGCAACAGCCAGGGCACGTTCTGCCATTAGTACCCCCACCCCAGCTAGTCTGGTCTTACAGAACAGCGTGTGTGGCTCAAAGGACAAAGGACGGACAGCCAATTCATGCACTGGGCTCCATGGAGCACTCCGCTGGCTAAACTTAAATTTGAATCAGACTATTCACATGTAAATATGTGCTTGCATCAACACAACTAGTGTGCATTTCACATATCTCAGATTGGATTACCAGAGATTCAGGTCCAGAAATAATACCTTCATGTCCTCATAGCCATCTGCAAGCCTCTCTTCTTTTCAAAACATACAACTAGCTGTGATGATGCCCTGGGTTTCATGCTGATGTCACATACATTTCAAGAATGCAAACACATAACCATGTCCCCAAATATCTGTGATTTAAAATAATCATTGGGTAGAGTTCTTCCTCCACCAACGCTAGCCTCTCCCCAGTCTTTAAGGGTGATTACTGGGTTTGAAACCTCTGGCCATTGGATATAACTTTTCTTGCTTTAACTCAGAGTCTCCATGGCTCCCAGTTAATTCTATTCACTGCAAAGCCAAACCCTATTTATACTGGTTTAGAACATGATAATATACTTAACCCAGTGTCTGACACATAACAGGAGTGCAACCCATGCGTGGATGGCGCTGTGGCCTGAGAGAACTGACCCTGATGCCTGTGACCCTGACCACACGTCCGTCGGCCCTCATGCAGTGACATACAACCGCTACTTCACTTGAATCAGAATAGAGAACATGTAACAGAGTGCTCTAATCTATGGCCTGTGCCTTTTGGAGAAACAGAATAGAGTTTATGGAGAGACTAATCCAGTTGATGGCATTTTAGTTTCACTACTGATCACTGTCAGTAAAAGATTAAAAAGCAAAAGATGGGAATAAATTTGACGTCACCTGGATTAAGGCTCCAGTGTCTTCACCAAGTTTGTCATCGTGCTTGAATTCCACAGTCACCGCCTTGTCACAGTCAATGGCCGCCATCTCCACATCAGTGGTGTTGTTCATAAAAATCCCACCGAAGAAATCAGTAGCTCTAAAACCTAAGAATGAGGAAGAAAGGAAATTTTGCTTCTCCTCATTCTACTGTTATTTTCTTCTTTGACCTGTTATCAATTTGAAGAGGAAACAATTATACAACAGAAACCTGGAAAATAGTATAAATGACAATTACCTGTGCTGGTACGAACCCTCATTATAGCATCAAATCCTATTTTCTTTTCAATATCATTTCTGAGGTCATTCAAAAATTGTTGGCTATCCAAGTGTATCTAAAAAATAAAGTATGGTCAGTGTCCACCAGATGGCAGTAAAATACAATAACAATTATTTTTCTTTTTATCTTGATTAAAACCTACTTTACTCAGATATCTTCAAAAGTGTTCTTAAAGCTTTTTCAATTTTATTTCATTTGCACTCTTTGGCCCTATAAAATCCCGTAACTAGTTTACAATATAAATATGTGCCTAGGTGATTAAAACTAACTTTTATGGATAATAAATAAAAATAGATGACGATTAACATTTGTCACTTACGTTGGGGGAACACTCATGCCCACTCCATGTTTCCATGTGCAGGGACATAAATCAGAGGCACCCCACCCCTGGCCCCTTCTCCTCAGGTGAGGGCAGGTGACTGATCTGATCAATAACTGTGGGAGAAGGAACCCGGTGGGCACAGCTCGGCCCCCCTGCTCTCCCTTCCTGGGCAGGCCTGCAGGAGGAGCGCATTTCCTGCCCCCCTGCATGATGCGTTACCAGAAGCCTGTAACTGAGCCACCGTGTGCCCGGTGTCCACACTCGTCACTGAGGGTGACGGGGCCAAGCCCACCTGCCCGCAGACCCAGGGCTGTTCTAGTGCAGACATCCTGGTCTTCTCTTGACTCTCTCAGTTCGGGCTTGGAAGAGACTGACCCCCAAATCATAACGATTTAAAACAAATTGTCATTCTTAAAAACAGTACCCTAAACATATCTAATACAAGACAGGCTGGATGCGCTCGGCCTGTTGCAAACAGGGACCAGGAAAGCAATCGCTTAACCAAGTACGCACTGTCTTCCATCAGCTCTAGAATTTACATTTGTCCGTTGCCCACAAGGGGCACAGCTTTCTGACCCTGTGATCTAAGCACAGGAAGTGAAATGGCAGGAGAGAGCCCGAGGTGAGCCAATTACTGGCTTTTACCTGGAAGTTGCTGTATTTGTAAAGAGTTCCTCCAGTGAGCTGCGGTACGAGGCCCAAAGAGGCCACATCCACGTACTGGTTGGGGAAGAGGAAGAGTGTCACACAGCAGCCATGGGTCACACAGTCCTTGGCCAGCGAGTCATACACATTGCTTTGAGGCTGGAAAAGTATCTGAAGAAAAAGATGCACAAAAGGAAAAGAAAAACCACAAATTATTTTTGTTTTAGGTTTTTAATTCCTATTGAATTCTTATTGAATTTTTAAAAATGAAAATAATTTTTTTCAAGGTAAGAGAGCTGGGCTGAAGTGAGTCGTGGAGACCGTGGGTGCGCAGCCAGTGTGTGCCAGGCCCGGGCGGCACTGGTGTGCGCATGCACATCGTTTCATGTGCTCCTCCCGCAGCGCCCACGACGCTGCTATCTCTGTCCCCCTCGACAGGCCGGTTGAGGCAATGTGTCGGTGTCGGGGGGCAGGAGCGGGACGCCTACGTCACGGTCTTGTCCTTCCCACGGACTTGTCCCCCCACAGCCGCGCTGTCGGAGGTTTGAGCAAAGCATAGTTGAGCCTCAGGAGTGACGTTATAAGGTGCAGCCTACGTTCTCCCTCTGCCTTTATCTTCCTTCTCATTTCCCCACTTCTTCCATTCCTATGATAGTCTTAGCCTTCAGTCTCTCACACAAATTATTCATGGAAAAAGTCTGAGACCTTATTTTAATGTAGGTCTACTTTAGACCACTTTTTCTAGAAATGTGAAATTTGTTAAATTATTTGCAATTCCAAGTATTCCCATAATATACGATGCCTTGGATTTCCACTTAGCTTCTCCTCCTTTCTTACACAAAGCACACCTTCCCTCTTTCTTTACTCCCTTGAAGAACTGACACACGGCCACCTTCACAGGGCAGTTGTTTATGGGTACCTTCTCTTTGTCTGTGTTAATCAGCTTCTTGTCGTCTCTGTTTTTGAGCTTCCCGGGCGCTTCTGCGGTAGGCAAGGAGGAGTGGAAGATGAACAGCTTCCCAGGACAGTCTGCTGCCTACAACATTCACAGAAAATGTCTTGGGTGGGAAAGTTTTATTTTAAGGGAATCATAAAATAAATTAAAAGATAAGTACTTTCTATGAACCAAGCAGTGAGTATATCTCACTTTATCCTCACAATGACCTCTGTGTCCTTGGGCAGGTTCTATTCTCTCCAATTTATAGATGGGGAAACTGAGGCTTTGAGAGGATAAGTGATTTGCCTCAAGTCACACAGGTTGTAAAGGAAAGAGCCAATATTTAAATGTCGGTCTCTATACCACGATGCTCTAAAAAATGACGTAAACGATGTGTTACAGTATTCAGCCTACAGTAGTCTTTCAGGACCCGGGGAACACATGATGCAAAAGCAACTGATGGAATTCCCAGGGTCAGAATGCAGCCGACGCGCTTTGAAACCCTGAGTGAACATGGAGTAAACCTAGAGTAGTATTTCAAGGAAGGATGCACGAGAACATGGTGTTGGCACCAGGGATGGGGACCAAGTAAGATGACAAAAGGAGAACTGTATCTGCAGTCCCTGGGAAGCAAGAAAAGGAGGATTTGGGCTCCACGAAAGTGAATTCAACATTAAGAATATTTAAAATCTTGGGCTGGCTGAGTGACTCAGTTGGTTAAGAGCTCGCTCAAGGGTTTGAGCTCTGAGCAACAGTGGTTCGAGTCCGGCCCGGGCTGAGCTGCTGCTGAGCTGCCAACAAGTGGCAGGATGGCTCAGCTTAAAAAAAAAAAAAAAATTTAAAATCTCAGTTAAGGCATAAGAAGTCATCTATCAAGCAAAATTTACTGACATCAAAGGATCAATATATCACCCCTGCTCCGATCTTGCCTTTCTGCAAACCACCCTAGCACCTGGCTCAGAACGCTGTCTCTGCAATAAAGGGGAGTATTCTGGTCACGTATGGGCTTCTCTCCTAAGAATCCTGAGGTCTGTGATAGAGGATAGAGCCCACATTCCTTTCTGGAGCGGGGGACAGAAAGTAGGAAAAAGTGAGGTGAGCTGCTGCCAGCATGTGCCAGGCTCTGCACATGCATCTCTCATTTCACGCTCACAACCTTGGGCACCAGGTCCCATCGTCTGCATTTTGAGGACAGGGAAACTGAGGCTCATGCCATTTGCCCAGATCACACAGCCAGTGAAGGACAACGCCAAGGCCCTGTGGAGTCCAGTCTGAATCTGAACTCCGCTCTGATCTCCAGCACCACCTGACCCCTGCCAGCCCTTGCACTGGCTATTTCTTGCTTTTCTGGAATACTGCACATGCCTTACACACCTCTGTGTCTTTGCACATTTGTTCCCTCGGCCCGGAATCCAACCCTCCTTTCCTTGGCCTGGGGCTGGGGTTAGTGGCACACATTGGTGAGCCTGGGTCAGCTGTAAGATGTCTGGTAAATTACTGGGTTGTCGGAAAAGGCATGACGTATTTTTTTCTGTTTTTGTTGCAAAAATGCATCACGACTTTTCCGACAACCCAATATTTGCTGCTAATAAGGTACTTGGGTTTGTGGACAACTTCTTTAGAAACCAATGGATTGAATTCAAGGTTAGCCTGTCTGACTGTGTCTAAGTGACATCCTGATGCGCTCTGTGGAGTGAGTCACAGAGCTAGGGTCACAGCTGACACACGGGCCCTGTCTCATCTTTGCTGTGGCCAGTACTGAGCGGGTATTTTATTTTCATGCAAGTCGTCCACTGAAAACGACTTCTCCTAAGAGGTCCACAGCCCTGATGAGTAGGAAGGGGAGGGCAGAAGCAGCACGGCCAGGGACGTACACAGCGCATGTGCACACGCTGCGAGGAGAAAGACCTGCCGACACTGTCCAACAAAAACACATCATTCCAACAACCAAGCCAAGGAAAATTTCAGTAAGATGGATACTAACATGCTACAAATTTTGAAATTCTAGGACTAATTTTTTTCATTTCTATCATTTTTATTATTATAAAAGTACCTTTTTTGTTATTTCAATTCAAGTTGCAGAAATGGTATAAAACTTTTTGTAAAAGTCCATCTTCTCCCCAACTTTTCTTCCCTGGTGCACCCAACTGCCCTAAGAAACTAACTGTCAAAATTCTTCTGTCCATCTAGATATTCTACTTATAGAAGTACTGTAATTTTATACCACAGTAGTTAAAAGCATGGGTTGGAATCCCAGCCACTTTATTAGCTGACACTGGGCAAATTATTTAATGTCTCTAAGCCTCAGATATGACATAGGAAAAATAGTAACTACATATAATACTGTTGAGAGAATTCCATGACCCAGTTCAGGGTATTCATCATAATTAAACACACACGACTGCCTTGTTAATATTTCCTATGGAGTAAAACTCTAAAGGAAAAAAAACCAGGGTACATTAAAAAAATTAAATTCAACATTAAAAAAAAAGTAGCCATATTTATTTTTTTCCCTATGTAATGACTATTAATTTTAGATTTATAATTTCATTAATCACAAACATAAAATATTTTATTAGTAATAAAAGAAAAAGCTCCTATGACATTTCATGCTCTATATCCTTAGAAAATTTGTTTTCACCAAAACCTGATTGTGCCCACGAGTGTGTCACATAGAATAAGATGAATGACATATGTCATGCTTATTATGATAGAAAACAGGTTGAGAAAGGCTGGCCTGGAGAACCCTTACTCAAAATTCAGGTCCCATGTCCTTCGCTCTGAGAGATGTGTGATGACCCTAACAGAGCTGGTTGCCTCTACGTCCCCACCCTACTTTGTAGAGAAAACTGTTGTAGAATTAATGTCACTGTGTCACAACTCTATATGTTCTACTGTCTTGTACACATCACAGGCTCCATGAAAAAGGAAGGACCGTGATTGTTCTAGTGTGTTTCTCCAGGCTGCTTGCGGGAGGGGGGGTTTCCTCACAGATTCTTGTAGAAGGGATGTTGTGAAGCATCACCTTGAAAGCAAATGTAGGTCTACAGATAATTTAAAGATAAATTCCCCCCAACCAGTGATAGATTCGCAGTATCACCACTAACGGCTGTCACTCCAGCTTTTTGCCAAATTCTACTTATCTAGTTTTAGGGTGGAAGTAATAGCTAACTCAGAAAAGTGTTCCTTGGCCAAGTTCAAAGACAATGCCAGAAACCCCCACAAAATGAGTTATGAATGTCAGACTTGGAAAGACTATGTAGAAAAAAAGACACTAAATACAAGATGCTGTGGCCACGGAAGCACGTGCAACAGCAGGCTGTGTGCTCAAAAGTTCAAGGGCTTCTGAGAAAGCATGCCTGAGAACTTTCCAAACAGTCCCTCTTATCTTTGTGACAAATAAGCACATGTTTTGTGTTAGTTTTTGTCTACTCTCCGCTTCAAGAAGTTTATTACCGCTGATAAAATCTATAGGTTTTACTTGGCGTCTGCCTGACAGAAAGCGAAGCTGTAATTCAAACAGGGAGTCAGGCTCTAACGTGCCCACTTGGACACACAGGAAGAAGCAGTGCTCTTCGATGTTCTTCCAGTTCTTTCCTCATCCACAGACCAGGGGACGCTTCTCTGGCCTCCTGTGCACAATTCCCAGAGCTGCTGGCTCGCTGGCCGCTGCCCTGGGCTTTCCTGTGCGGTTCTCTGCCCCCCACTCACCTACTGCACCGCCTTTTTGGGGAATACAAGTAACAGACATCATGTTTTGCATTAGCCACATGTCCCCCACCACACTGTAGGAACTGTGAAGAGGGACAGTGGTCCTTCTGTTGCCTGACATGAATCTGGCATCCACCAGGCCCTGGGTAGCCCGCCTTTTGCCGCTGATAATCACAGTCCTGGCCCTTGCATGTTTGAAAACCCCAAGGAAAGACCGGGTGAAATGGGGATTTTCTCTTCATATCTGGTAGGTCTAGTACTGTGGAAATCGTTTTAAATAGATCACATAAGGTTCATATAAAAGCCAAAGGGAGGAGCTAAACTGGAAATCCTGGCAGAATCAGTCGCCCACATGCTCACAGAGCTGGAATGTAAACGCTGGGAGCGATCCGTGGTTTGGGCCATCTCCTCCTGAGATCCGTGGGCAAGTCTGGAACAGCTTCTAGCAACATGCATGCGTTAATGAAGGCAGTGTGTTCTTTCACAGATGAAACTTCCTTTGTGTGTGTGCCTGTTTCGAAATTTTATCTACTAGCAATTCAAATGCTTCGTCTCACCTTCAGAGCTTCCATGCCGGCCTGGATGACAGGAGCAAAGACAGTCTCATTTTCATTGGAGTCTGCGAACATCTCTGGAATCTGGTCCAACAAACTGTAAGAAATGCATGAGCAAAAGGTTTAAAATATTTAGCATATTTAAAAGAACCTTCAAGAAATCAATCACTTGCATTTCAAGCCTTAACACATGTGGCATTTATTTTACCCCACACCCTGAACACCTGAGGGTGAATGTCACAGGTCATTCCTCAGGGAGTCACATCCCTGCGTGATTTGGCACCAAAATGTATGGTTCAGTTGGAGCATTTAAAGAAATCACACTCTGTAGAGATTTTTTTCTATTCACTACATTTCTGGTCCCTTTCGACTATAAATTCTTGAACAATTCTTTAGTTATTTATCATTGTGATCATCCACATGCAGGAAATAACTCCCTCACGTTACATTTCCAGCAAAAGAAAGGATTAACAGGGAATTCCTTCTTTTAGATACTGGTCTACATTAAAAAGAGAACTAACATAAATGATAGTTTTATAATTCCTTTAAAACCACCTTGCTAATGGCACAACAGAATAATGTGGTGTGATTGAATCAAAACAAAAAACAGACACCTAATTTGTATGTAAATTATAAAACATGTGCCATTTACTTGTGAATCACAGACTGGGATTCTTGGTAGTTGACAAGGAAACCATCCAACAAAGGAACGAAGACCTCGCTAACATCCGTCACCACCATCATCTGGGGCTGGGCCAAATTACTCTTGACATTAAAGAAATGGAGAACTTTGTTATATGTGATGAAACCGACTCGAATCGCAGAACTCTCTTGTTGCTCTTCCCTAGGAGGAAAAAAAAAAAAAAAAGAGTTGGAGGTTCTTTCATAAATCTACAAGAGGAAGTTTCTGTCAGAAACTCAGTTAGTATACTTCTATAAAACATATGGAAGACATGTTTAAAGTTTTGTCTAAATTATTGTTTACCAGATATAAACAATAACTTCTAGGTAAAAAAACCAAATAGATATTATGAAACTATTTGCTCCTATTTCTTTGACATATTTATTTTCAACCCATAGCAAATAGTTTTTGATAAATATGCTAGGCTTACTACATTCTTTATAAACAAAACCCTCCCAGAAGCCACTGGAAAGTCAGAAGAACAAATGGAGTATCTGAAGCAAGAGAAAGAACCCTCATCACAAACAGGGCAGCTCTTATCAGGAGAGGACTTGCCCTTCCTGTGTGATTCCCTGCACATTCTAGAGAATGTCCACAGAGAATGGGCTGACTTTGAGACCTACGTACTACCTGTATATGTAAATGTACAAATACATCACATGTACGAATGGACAATGTAACTCTTACTAGGTAATAGCTAAACACTGTGATGGTCACAACAAAACAACAAAAGCAATAAAACTCCAAAACTGTAACAAAAAGTAAAATTTTTTGAGACATTCCAAGACAAGGCCTCAATCTTCCTGAAAGGAGTATAAAGGCATGAATGTTCTCATTCAAGTCTATACTAGGTGTATTCAGAGTGGTCTAGACTCTAAGTACATGTTGACCAAAGTGTGTGTGTGTGTCTCTCTCTTCCCCTCTGCGCACACACACACGCATGCACACACACACGCATGCAGTCACACACACACATGCATGCATGCACGCACACACGCACGGTCACACACGGACACACACACAGTCACACACACACACACACACACACACACACACACCTCTCACTTTCAGTGGTGGACACAGCAGAGTGGTCACGGGAAAGCCACAGAAGACACACGCCATTTTCCTTGACCCTTAGATACCAGTAAAACTGATCTGGCTTGGGGGACAACTTTTCGAAAATGAGCCTAGCTTGCTTAGTTTCTAAATCTTGCGTGAGGCATAAAGAGTTACTTGAGTACCAGAGAAGGGAAAATGGAAGTTGGCCAGCACACCACACAGTCTGAGGCCCGTTTCCCAGCAAACCATTTAGTACAAAGGTGAAAAGTGTCCAGCAGATCACGAAGGGCATTTTTTCTCTTTTAATAGTTAATTTGGTGTTAACAAGGCAAAAAGAAGACAAGAAAATGACAGACAAGAATCTGGGTTGCTTTTCCCACTGGACTCGGACACTCACAAGTGATGGGAAAGGCGCATCCCAGGACTCAGGGTTCACTGAGAATCTAAATTAACATTCTTCAAAAACATCTAATCAGAACATCTCGCATTATTGCAAAATATTAGTGCACATTTCCATGGGAACATATTTTCTTTTTAATCGGAGAAACAGAGATCTTCAAAGTTTCCTTTCAACAGTGTAACTGCCTTGTTAAATCATATCGAGAAGGAAACGAAACCTCGGCCTCTCCTTCATATTAATTCTATACAAATGTTATAAAGCACCAGGGGGTCGTACCCAACAACAGGCTTCTGTGCTTCTGCCTTTCAATTCCCAGCACTTGCCCCGGTTACTTTAATGGAATGAATCTGACACAGCAACACGAGACGTTAGTAAAAAATGACCTGGAATGTTCCAAAATCCAGCACTTTGAACATTTTAGCTACTGCAGCTTGAAATACAAGCAAAAAAGGAAAAAACCAAGAGTCTGATGTGCACAACAGGTGAGGTGCTTCAAACCTTTCTCTCCTGCTCCAGAGAAGCCAGACGGAAACGCCTGGCAACCTGGCGATTTCGAAGTTACATGGGAAAGAATGGGGCCTTCCCTTTTCAAAAGATTAGCTACAAGATGAACATGTCCTAAGACGTGAATCCGGACTTACACTGTGCTTTAAAAAGGCTATTTGGCATAGTACCTGCTTTAGCTCTAGCAGTCAGTCAAACTGATGACAGTCTTACCATGAAGATATAAGGTTATACACCTACACAGCCCAAAATAAATTTCAGGGGGGAAAAAAAACAGATTTGCTTTAAAAGGTAAAGGAAGAAAAGGTGTTTTGCTTGAATAGATACTTTTGAGACAGTTATCTGCAAAATGGCCAGGAATGACCAAAAGTTCCCTTTATTCATTCATTCATTCATTCATTCATTTTCACCTGTCTCGTGCCAGAGCCACATGTCTGCTCTAATGGGGTATGAAATGATGAGGACACGTAAGGAAAGAGTATGACTCCGAAGTGGTATCGATAGCTTGCAGCTCCACATCCCCCCTGCGCTGAAAAGGAGTGGCTGGGGGAGTGGCGAGGGAAGCAGCCCAGCTCCCAAGGTGAGAAGGGACCGCTGCCCAAAGTCCGAGCAGTTTCCTTGCATGCCAATCAAGCTGGACATTCAGACTCAGGATGGAAGCAGCCCTGGGAGGGGTCTAGGATAAAATGCATCCTACTCTGGAGAAAGTCTGTACTCTTCTAGTCGCCCCGAGAAAGAGGTATCACAAGCTAGTCACCAGCAGTCACCAGATTCCTCCCTTAGGCCCTGTCTTCGACTTGCTGCTACCTCATTCTTCATGTCAGAATTCAGTTTGAAAGCACCTCAGTGTTTTTTAAACATTCCCCACTGCTTCTCCAACCATCTTCGGGAATATTATGACTTCAGCTTCACGGGTACAAACAAAATGATTCCTACACAGTCCCTCCTCTGCTCCGCTCGCGAGGACCTGGGGAGCCCTGAGGGCTGTGGCAAGGCGCCCCTCAGCATCCCTGTCCAGAGCAGAGACTGCTGTGTTCAGGACACAGACAGCGAGGGTGGACGCTGTGGACACTGCGGACACTCAGTTTCACAGACTGTTTTCTTAAGCACGTCTTCCTCTCAGGAAGGACGGCATTTTCCCCGCTCCTGGGTCTTCTTAATGTAATAGGTGCCGTTCCCACCCTCAACAGCTAGTTCGTATACCAGAAAGCAGCCACCTTTGCTAAAACCCCCCTGCTCCTTTCCTTTCTGCAGCAGTAAGGAAAGTGATTGGCCATTAAGTCACAGATGCAGAGGCAGCCAAGCTGAAAGGGGCCAAGCAGCGCATCTGAGGGTGAGAGGGACCCTGGTGACAAAGCCACGTGTCTGCCGCGTGACAACAGTTCCGTTTCCTGGCATCCGCTAGAACTCTCTACATGCCCAGCAACTCCCAGTTTCCACTGGAAAATCAACACTTTTTAAATGAACGACGGACTCGCCGAGTCCCTCCCACCACACTGGGGGCTCCCCTTTCTCGAAAGCGGTCTGCACTGCACCGCTCTTGACCAATTTGTTTCTTCTACAGAGATGGTTTTGACGCTTTATGGATTCTAAGACCTGTGCAGCCCGATGTCTAAATAGTCACACCATGTCCTCGTTAGCAAAAGACATCAGCAGGCCATTCAGCCTGTTGTCTGGCCAATATTTAATCCAGCAGCACTGCAGAAGTCATAAAAAGAGCGGCGGTCCCCTTACTTGGGCAGGTTCTCCAGCACAGTCTGCAGTTCCTCACATATGAGCTTCACGAGTCCGTTCTTGATGTTACTGTACGAAACATCGATCATGAAGATGAAGGCGGGTGGGTTGGGAGGCTTATTCTTCTACAGGAAAGCAGACAGATCAGAGATAGAATTATAAAGCATATGCATTTCATAACCAAATTCAAACACTCAGAAACTCTTGAAGGTCATCAGAGGTTTCATTTAATATTTAGGACCTGATGTGGAATTAAATCATTGTCCAGAGCAGTCTCTGACGCTGTAAAACGATAAAAGTTGTTTCCCTCCTGGGCTCTGACCTGGGTCCCACTATTGCCTCAGACTACATCACAATATCTGGCAGCGAAGGTTCAAGTCTGGGAAGCTCCAGAGACACTGCCCCAAGGTGCCTGAGGCTGTGCGGTCTGGTGGTCGCCTGGCTCCTAACTCTCTGCCTTACAGGAAGAAACGTGTTTGCAACCCTGACAAAGTGAGCCAAAAAAAGAGTACGCACATTAAGCAGTGCTTGTTTTTGAAACTGTAGTAAAACTTCATTAACTTGAAACCAGGGCTTTCAATCTCTTCCTTAATAAGCTTTTTCAGTTTTAAAAATAGAAAATTACATACTAAAATATAATTGTATACCTTAAAAAGGTAGTGCTGTATTGTAAATGAGCTATTTCTAACATATTTATGGTAAAAATGGAATACTTGGCCTTTTCTTTGCTAAAAATAATCACTCTAACATAAAGCAGCTGCTCCACAAATGCTCCGTGGCTGCTGGTCACGTTTTGCTGGCGTCCACACAGGTCTTAGGAAGTGACTCTTCAGTTGGGTCTTACACAATATTTAGAAAAGACAGCCACAGGCAAACAACTTAAGTGACTCACACGAGAGAATAAAGACTAATTTAATTTCAACTTTATAATAAATGACAAAAAGGTTGAAAATAAAATTGTTTTAATTGTTATAACTGTAAAATTAGGTGATAATATTTCCAAGTCACTGTACTGACTCGTTCTATAACCACTACAAAGCTAGATATAGCATTCTTCTAATAAAAGTCCTTCATTTGAAATAAGAAAAAAAAATTACAGGACTTAAAATCATCAACCTGAAAACTCTAATGCTTTGCCATATCCAAAATCTGACCCAACAACCAAATGAAAGAACTCTACTGCGGTTTATGTGAGCAATCTTTATTGCAAATTCCTAATTCCCACCTAATCTAATTTGTAACATAGACTTACCATGATTTGTATCAAATGAAAATAACCATCGTTTCCATGAATTAAACTACAGCCTCCTCGTGACCAACCCAGACGTGCCTTACCATTGTGTGTGCTCTCAGCATTTCCAGTCCCCCCGACTGTTTTCCTGTCTCCAACCTATACATCCCTACAGAAAGTGTCGCTGTGGCTCCTGTGCTCTGTGTGCAAAACGCACCCGCCGTTCCTCTCAATGACCGTGTCCCCACATCTCTTTCTCTGTCAATAACATCACCACACGCCAAGTCAGAGGCCTCAAACACGATCGATTCCTTCTTCCGACCACTGAGCCCCACTGGTTTATCCTTTCAGAACGCTTCCTTCGTATGGTTTCATCCATCCGGAACTTTGTCCTCTTGCACCTAGAAACTGTACCGGCTTCATCACTGGCTTCCTTCACCCCATTCAATCCAGCTTGCTTCCTCCGGCCAAACTGAACGCGCACGACGCTGTGTGAGCCTGGTTTTCAACGTGTCGACACGTTACTGAGACTGCCGTCTGAAAGACCACAGACCCCGGACTGCAAACTACAGGGCCTTGAGTAAAAGCCAGCTCTCATCCTAAATCTCTCTCACCCTGCAGTCTCAGGCATGCGGACCACCCTCCCTTTCTTGGCTGTCAAGGCACTGCGGTGTCAATGTCTCCGCAGCTTCCCTGACTTCCGCTTCGTTTCTCATTTCCTTACCTTCCTCTAAAGAACACCCTCTTCTCTCTTCTTACCGTAAGCTCCATCACAGAAATCTCGTTCACTTATTCAGTTGTAACAGGCAAACCCTCAAATTCTCGCTCATCATGACCAGCATCTAATTAACCAAAGCACACCTCCACATGCAGGCCCTGCCAGCACCTTACACTCACCTTGTGAGAAGCTAAAACCACACTCTCCCGCTGCACTGCTCTTTTCTGGAAGGAACTTACAGAAGACAGGATCCTCTCAGATACCCTGGCCATCCACTGCTGGGTCACCTTGAAGCCTCTGTGGCTTCTCTAGTCCCAGTACCCCAACTCAGACCCTGCTTTTCTCTCTTTTTAAGTTATCTCTAATTGTAGTAAAATGCACATGATGTAAAATGTACCATCTTAACCATATCTAAGTGACAGTTCAGTGGTGGTAAATACATGCACATCACTGAACAGCCATCACCACCATCCATTTCTAGAACCCTTTTATCTTGCAAAGCTAAAACTCTGTCCCTGAAACAATGCCTTACCATCCCCCACACACACCCAGTCCCTGGTAACCAGCATTCTACATTTCTATAGTCTGTCTCTATGAAGCTGACTAGTCTAGGTGCTTCATATAAGTAGAATCATACAGTATCTGTCTTTTCTGTGGCTTAGTTCCCTTCGCACAACATCCTTAACATCCGCCCCTGTTGTGCCATGTGTCAGAATGCCCTTCTTTTCCAAGGCTGAATAACTCCACTTTTGCACACACCACATTTGCTTGTCCGTCATCCATCGCTGGACACCTGGGCTGCTGCCACCTGTTGGCCACTGCGAATACTGCTGCCATGAACAAGGTGTGCAAACCTCTCTGAGGCCCTGCTTTCATTACTGTGGGATATATGCCCAGAAGTGGAATTGCTGGGTCACATGGCCATTCTATTTTCTGTCTTTTGAGGACCTGCTATGTAACCATCATTTTCTCTTGCTTGGGCTGCGTGAGCTTGTGATGCCGCCCCGCTCCAGTCTCTGCTCTCACTGTGAAGACTGCTGTCGGAATCACCGTCCAGACCCCAGTGCTACTGCCTCTGATGGCAGGAGCTTCGCTCAGCACAGAGACCAGACAGGGCAGAGTGCTCAGAGCCGTTACAGACTGCGTGAGGGAGCCGCCATGGGGATGGGAACAAGCCTGCCTTACCCTGAACTGGGCTCATGGCTCACTGAATGAACAGACGCTTCAGTGGGCTGGCATTCAACACCCCATAATACTCATCTAACAGACATGTCAAAGCCGAAGAGATCAGAGTCCTGGTAGAGAACAGGGGTTCTGTGGCCATACAGACACGGTTTCCCTTCTGGCTCCATCACTCTGTGTATGGGACCTGATGTCGGGGCTTAAGCTCTCTTGGCCTCAGCGTCCCCATATAAGGGTGGCGCTCACCACGTGGGCTCACTGTGAGAACTAACCGATACAACGCACAGGAAGCATTGAGTGCAGAGTAGCACACATAGTTAATGTGACATAAATGTTCACTTTAATATCTAAAGTTGCTATTAAGATAAACCGAAATGAATAGAGAGAAATGTGACTTTTTTAATTCTTCACGTTTGTATGGTATTAAAAAATACACGTACAAATTAAATAAGGTCTTTTTCATCATCTAAATCCCCAAGGCCGCTATTATTATATTTTATTTACATTTTAAATTATAATTAAATTTGAAGATATTTACAGCATCTTTTATTATGAACCTCACTTGGAATAACTAAAGGAAGATTAAGCTTACAAAAACCTCTTCAACATGTACAAATTTTATTTGGTTCCTTGCCTGCTGGGTGAGATTTCCCATCAATTAGACATCTGGAACATTTCCAGATAGCAGAATTTGAAGATACTGAGACTTTTGTTCCCAGAAATAGATCTGACTCTGTGCCTGAGTTTCCACTAAAGAAACATAACATCAAGATAATACAGGCTTTTGGCAGGGAACCGGGGACGCAGCAGTTAGCTGTGCAACGGCTGCAAAGACGACAGGATGCGTTTCCATCCCCAGTTACGATGCTTTATTACAATTAGAATGTTTATGTTCTCCCTAATCATTCTTCTCCGGTCAATAGCAGTAAAGAACAAACTGTCCCAAAGTAATCAGTGCTGAGGACATGCTTTTTCCCTGAAATAAAGCATTTGTACCAAAAATGTTTCCCAAACTATGTTCAAGTGTTATAACGTTTTAAACTAATAAAGCATTAACCTTTAATAACTAGTTCTATGTACTGTAGTAAAAAAATCATACAAAACACTACAATAAATGCAAAATTATGTTAATTGAAAAAAATCAAACCAACTGAGAAAACTTCTAGTTAAGAAAAATGTTCTTCGTAATTTATACCCAGTAGATGGACTGGTCCCCTAGCGAACATCTATGAAAGAACTCTGGGTCAGAGGCCGTTTTCTGAGAGCTGGGAACCAGCAGGCATTCATTTTTGGAAGGGAAAGTAAATAAATAGGTCAGAATGACTCTGCTTCTTCAAGTCTACACATGGTACTTCTGACATAAGCTGACACCTGAACTGATCCCCAAGATGATCTCTTCAAATCAATAAAGAATGTTAAAGCCCTGCAAGGTACCCATGATGATGTCACCATCACCATGACACTGGAAAAGGGAAACAGCCCTTCCTGGGAGTAGTCACAGACCTGAGACTCACTCATTCGCTCTTTCATTCATTCACTCCACATACACTGATCACCTGCACCCCCTTTGCCAGACACTGTGGTAGATGCCATGAAGTTAGCTAGGACAGATGCCTGTCCCCTAGAAAAGCAGAATCTATGACGGGGGAAAACGTAAGAGAAGATTAAAATCCATGGGGACAACTGTGAAAGCAGATATATGAACATTTTACAAAATTTTTATGAGAAAAAAAAGATTTAGTAAATAACTACCATAGTGAAGTCAGAGAAAGGTGTGCATGCGCACACATGCACACACACATGCACGCACATGCACGCACACATGCACGCACACGCACACACATGCGCGCGCACACACACATGCGCGCACACACGTGCGCACACACACACACACACACACATTCACGCACAATAAGAAAACCCCAGCCAGGGGTTAGACAGCAAGCCAGTCTGCCCGGAGGAGCCTGTCGGGCTGGAACAGGAGGATGCCCTCCCATAGACTCATGGAGCCTCGAAGGGAGAGGGGAGCTCAGAGTAGGAAAGAGTTTCATACAAATGAGCAGAGAGCAGAGGTGGGCATCTGGGGTCCGACAGTTAATGATCCTGTAAGGAAACTTAAAGTTTTGAATTTCCTATTTTCGATGAAGGTAGTGGGGGGAGTCTCATGGCTACGTCTTAAAGCACAGGACACCCGGGGCCAGGATCCCGGCTGCTGAGATCGTCGCAGGGAGATCCCGGGAGCCTTCAGCCACTACGTGGCATCACGAGTGGAGAAGGGAGGTACAGAACTATGCCAGTAGTCCTACTGACCACCTTGGTTGACCTCTGGCCTGAGAAGAGAATTTGTTCTGAGATGACCAACAAAACGGCAGAAGCAGCCCTAAGAGCCCAGCGTGGTCAATACGGCAGGAAACGCAAATTAAATTATCGTTTCCTATTTCTGGCACCACTTTTTAGTTTCCAAACATGATCACTGCAGTGGATGGTTTGGCTGTCTCATCATGCCAACAGCCCAAAAGGCTTATCTGTGTCTTAGGCATTAATACATCCCCACGGTACCACCAACACTTGCTGTTAGGGAATCAAGAGCCAGTTCTTTCCAGATTAAAGTTACTCCTTTGTATCTGACATCAGTGTGCAAACACTTGAAGTCCTGGGAACACTTACTCTGCAGTAATCCAAAGTAGCGACGTATTCGTAAGATCCTAGCGACAGCTCCGGCTTCTCATAGTAGTCCAGTCTCCTTCCAACGTGGTCCAGATGTTGGAAATAGAACGGTGGGACTAATAAAAACAAAACAGGAAAGGAAATCTTTTGTTTTCATAACCCAGACAATTTAATAAGTTCTCAAAATTTATTGTGGGAGGAAAGGAGTATGAGGAAAAAAACGTATTTTAAAGCTGGAATATAGTATATTCTAAATATCCAGTATTTAAAAAGCATGTCTTGGAAAGAACAAGTGTCTTCTTGACCCTTCCACAAGTTACTGATGACAAAGAACATTTATGATTTGGACCACTATGGAGAAGTGGGACAAAAAGTACTGGTGTTCTTAAGCTGCCACAACCAAAATTGAATTGTCCCAATTTAATTACCTCTTTTAAAATGAATTCTAGCTTCTAACTATTATATTTCCATTTTCAATACAACTAACAGAAATATACATCGGTTATTTGGACTCTTCTATTATCTGCATTATTTATGATCCTTTAATTAAGAGCTATCTTCAGCCCTGGGGAGTTTGCACGGCGTTCCAAATGTTTGGGCTTCAGAGTGGAGAGAATTACTGTATTAGGGAAAGACTACACCACTGAGAGCTCAGCTGAGGAACTCTTAATTTGATGCAAATGTCTCAGAAGGTTAGTTCTGGCAAAGACCGGGAAGCCACCCAACAGCACAGGAACGCCCATGAGTCACACACTGCACACTTGCACAAATATGGCTTGGCATCTGTAAGAATGCATCCCGGGCCTTGAGAGTAAGAGAGCTGACTACTGAGCCACTGACAACGGGAGGACTGAGAATAACCAGCGATGCTCCAGTTTTAGGCATTTTATAAAGAACAACGTTTTCATTTGTGAAGCCACGGACATAGTGCCTTTTGTTTTAAAACCAGCAACTCAATACTCCTTATCTTCAGCTGCTGGGCTCTACCTCCAGCAGACCTCTGCCTTCTGTAACCCTCAGTGGAGAACGCAAGCGTCACCGTGAACCTAAGGCAGTCTGCCTTCCTTGCAGAGAAACAGATCTGAGCCCAGTGTGAACAACCCTCCTGGGAAATGGACATGACACCTGCTAAGCGTGGGTGCCCGACAGAGGGACTTTGCTGTTAGAGAAACAGGAGCTCTGAGCGGTTTCTCTGAGCTGCACTTCAGGTGTTTGAAAATCTTGGATGTTCTAAGTTGGACAGATCTTGGATCAATTTCTAATCACCTTCCTTAAGGAAGTTGAGGGCTTGAGTGAAGACACTGAGAAGCGGGTGACCCTGGTGGGGACATTTATCGAAATGCTTCTGGGGAGTTCTCTGCCTCCTCCTGACCTTTCTCCCCCACACTAAAGCACAGGGAAGCGAACTGTCACGGGGTCCTGAAATCCAGGTCCCAGGACTGTGGAGCCATGGATTTGGCTGCGGATTTTGTCCAGGATGAGAGAAGGAGCAAGACCTTAGAAAGAGCGGCAGTGGTGGGGAGCCAGCAGGCCCAGGACCCATAGTACATCCTGTACGTACTGAACAGATGCCACAGTTGCAGCAGGGAGACGGAAAACTCATGCTCTCAAAGTCATCACAGGGTTCTAGAAAAACTCTGTAAACGTCAATGAACGTGGGAATGTTCTCAGCCTGAGCACGTGCTTTGACTCCAAAGAATTAAAAACACAGACATGTTATAAATATAACAAATAGAAGTGCTTTTCACAAACTTTCAGAGCTTTCCAACATCGGTGAATTCACACTGGAATGGAGTTGAAAATATAGTGAACCTGGGGAAGTTCCTTATATTACTGTTTTATATTGGAGAGGAAATCTAATGTACATGTTAACATCCTTGGTTTTACCTCAGCTTTTCCTCAATATTGATGAGCTCGCATTTAAGAATAACTCAGAGGAATGAGGAAAGAGGAAAGGTCTCTCAAGTTTATCATCTGTGAACACAGATGAACACAGATAAACACAGATAAAAGGAGGTTCTTCTTTGGAATTTCCCTGGAAAGAAACCCGCCGGAAAATGCTCCTTTTGCAACATCCAAGCTCCTCTGAGCAATATAAATGCATGAGCCCCAAATGGAAGTTGCTATGTTTCTTAGAAAACTCAAAAGTAGAGAATTGCATTTCCCCAATTTATTTTCACAAAAGCTCAGTAGGAGGCAAAATGAAATTTTACCTCATGTTTCCGGATGAGAAGCCTGAGAGGTTTTTCCCCTCTTGTCGCCCCTCTGAATTATTCTGGAATGTGAAGTCATCAGTGCTGAGGAAAAGCTCACCATGTTTTCCTCAGCGAGGCAGTGTCCAGAGTTCCACTTACTAAGGAGCTTCCGCAGGCAGCCTCGCGGCAGCACTCACCATCATTGACGCAGCTGCAGAACCCGCACTGGTACCGCCTTCCTCCCTCCATGAACTGCATGAACGGGCACATGTACGCTTTGCACCTGTTGCATCTGACGGGCCCGGTCTCTCCATGATTCACCAAGTACAGGGGTGTCTGCGGGAGCAAGCGGAGTGAGAGAGAGCTGGGTGCCAGATTGCTAGGGACTGCAGAATTCCATGGGGTAATCCGGAAAGTCTTCTAAGGCACACTAAGGGCCTCTTAATGCTCAGCGTTCACCTGGAGAGTAAGGGTGCCTCTCCTGATACCTCAGGGGTTCAAGGCAACACCCAACAAAGATGAATTTAAATTGGTATCTTACTTCTAAGCATATATGTGTATCCATGTCCATGTGTATGTGTGTATTTATTGGGTTGTCGGAAAAGTCATGACGTATTTTGTCTATGTTTTTCAAAGGTCATTTATTTATATAAAGAACAAAGATCAATCAATGATATATTGCCCGTTTTGTTTGATAACCTTTTGCCATCTTTCAGTGAGCTTCATAATTCCTCATGCATAGAAGGACCTGTCTTTATTTGCGAAAAACTGAACAAGGTGCTGATTTACAGCCTCATCTGAATTGAATTTTATACCACGCAAGGAGTTTTGAAGAAAGCGAGACAAGTGGAAGTCTGACGGCGCAAGGTCAGGCGAGGATGGTGGGTGTGGCAACACATCCCATCCAAGCTCCGATATTTTTGACGGGTGATCAGACTTGTGTGTGGTCTCACATTGTTGCGATGTAACACAACTCCTTTACAATTAACAAGCTCTGGACGTTTCTGGATGATGGATTTGTTCAAACTGTCCAAATGCCAGCAGTACACATTTGAATTGATTGTCTGGTTCCCTGGTAGGAGCTCGAAAAACACGACACCTCTAAAATCCCACCACACTGAGAGCATAACCTTCCTCTGATGAATGTCTGCTTTTGATGTTGTTTGAGGCGAATCATTGTCACCATAAACTTTATGCAAGTTTTCACAAGCTTGACACATGTTCTTCCCTGTATAGAAGTAAAATATGGCTAAAATGCACAGTTTGGTCTTCCATCTTCAACTTGTAAAATCTCCAGAACTCAACCAAATCACTCAATTTTTTTTTTAGAATGAAGCTATAACTGTCAGCTGTCAAATGTCATAGCAATAACATAGATGTGAATGACTCTACTACTTCCAAAACTGAACTAGTGCCATCTGTCGCAAACATGCATCATGACTTTTCCGACAACCCAATACCTACATGTACAGGAAGACAGATGATCTGAATATGTAATAAAGCTCATGTTGAAAAGGTGCCAAACACCTTGTATCACATGGTTTGCTAAGGTTGTTCAGTGACCGTAAATAAGGAAGTGAACTGGTTCTGATTTTAGAAGCTCTAGTTTGTATACCCCTTTAGATAGTTCCATCAAAGTATAAAAAGTGTTTCTTTCAAAACGCGGCTACCTGAAGGAGTGTGCAGTGATGTTCACTCACTTAGGCAGGGCTGCCCTGCCTGCTCGTCACATGACAAAATGTTTTGCAAAGTCCTCTCAGTGTGGCTGGCTGCTCATGCTTTGCCAGAACCGAGAAAATAAATATTTCAACTGCTTCTTCCTCATAAACATGCACGAAACCATTACATGTCTTATTTACAGCTTAAAGTGGAAAAGCTCAGCATGAGAAGCCTGCCGTGTTTCTCAGCCCCGCGGGCTTTGAGACTAAAACCATGAAGACTCCTCTTGTTTTTATAAAGTTCCTTAAAGATAACATTTCTAGAAAAGTTTGAGAATTACAGGGTTTGGCACTTTGGCTAAATTTTTCTTTAAAGAATAAGAGGTAAATAAAGCAGACTGCTTCTTAGTGGAGAGGGAGGAAGGTGGCGATGAGGCAAGCCAGAAGGCCATTTTCTGCGCATCTTAGGACACCAAGATGTACTGTTTGCCCCAGCCCAGATGTTCAGTGTGAAAAGTTATATACTGCTGAGATTTCAGAAATGAGTTGTGAGGTCTCAGAGCAGGAAAACAAAACAAAACAACAAAGACAGGTTTAGTATATATAATACATAAAAGAATCAGGGATAGAATTCAAAAACAAATTCAGAATCACCCCCCACTGCCTCTGCACTGCCCTGTCTCACACCTCTGGCCTCCAGGAGGGCAGAAATGCCTTGGACTTCCTCGTATATGGTACCTTCTGGTCCCCGCATGGGCAGGGCTCTGGTGCCCCACTGGTGGGGTTGTGATGAGGAATAAATAAAAACCCACATGCAGTACAGAGCATGATGCCTGGAACAAATTATTGGGTAAATGGTAACTGTTGCCATCCCTCTATACAGAACAACCCTTCCTCTCTTAAAACCACTGGGCTCAGGAGAGACTGTATTTAATAGGAGGGTTATAGTTCGAGAAGTCTGAGATAGGCTTGAATTTCCAAGGCATTTACTTATATAACTTTAAATTAGCTAACTTGTTACTGTAAAGTGTTATTGTAAAAACGACCTAGAAGGGAAAGAATCTACCTTGCAGGAGATTTTTTTTATATGATCTAGGAATTTTCTTTAAATATACATATTCGAATATTGATATATAGAACATTTTCCTATACAAGCTTTTTGTTGGAAATCCATGAAATGACAAACGTGTGTCCTCTTTAGCAGGTAACGAGAAGAAAATAATCTGAGGGGATGAGAGGGAAGCAGACAAAAGAATGCAGGTACAACAAGAGGCTCAGGACAACGGATGGAGACTTAGAGCAGGAAGTCCGAGCCAATGAGAAATGATACGGCGCTGTTTCTGGGTCACATCCAATAACCAGTTATGCCTCTGATGGCTGTCTGTCCTACAACTTCAACCTCGGAGATCAAGAGATGCTTTCAACAGTTCACCTGGGGAGAAAGTCGACAATTGGCAAGGACTCCAGTCAAGTCTACTTTTCCCAGAGTTCAAAGACAATCATCAATGCCCTGAGAGACTTCAGGAACAAAACTCGATGCAATTATCTGCTAGACAAAGCAGAGACACCGCAAAGAAATTAACCTTATTTTTACAGATATGGTTTACTCAAAGGCAGGCCCAGCCTAAAGTGACTGTGAAATTGTCAGCAACGAACCCCTCATGTTCTAATCCTGGCAGATTCAAACCTGCAGAACTGAAAACGAAAGTCTAGCAAGAAACTGGAGTCCACCAATGACTGCTGAGGCTGTTCAGCACGCTCACGTTTTTTTCTATCTTCACTCTTTTGGAAATAGGATGATGGATAGGTAAGGAAGGTCTTCAGACAATTGGGGTGACAGCAAAGAATGTTAAAAGCTTTTTAACTGTTTACATTTTCTTCTAGGCCGGCAGACAAGGGTAAAATTACACCATCTAGTTTCACCTCTCAGGCCCTGCTGAAAACCCTTAGAGGGTTTCCTCTCTCTCTCCAGGTGTCTGTCCCACAGTTGTGTGTGCATGAGCTCAGACACAGCTGAGCTTGCTTTTCTTCTCATTTCAACTTGCATGTAGACGGTTTGTCAAAAAAAAAATCTAATTACTTCCCCAAAACTTCCCCCACGAAAGCTGTTGTTTTTCTTTATAATTTTGCTTCTCAGTGTGCTTTAATCTTCGGCCTCCAGTGTTGTCCTGTCTGCTCCTTCTTTTCTGTTATTCTCTGAAATGGGAAAAGGGAAGGAATGGAGACACTGCTCCAAACGTCCTCGGGCGGCATGAGCTCACACAGCGTGAAAGTGACGGGAAAGCTGAGGAAGGAGGGACGACAGTGATGAGGCGTCTGCTCGTATTTTTAGATTTCCAGGTATGCGCCAAATACAATCCTGGCACTGATTTTAATTAAGATGCTTTAATTGAATAAAATGGTTCCTTTTTGTACACGCAAAACACCCTGCATAGTCCACAAGCAAGGATATAATTCACAGAGAAATTGGGTTCAGTGTGAAGATGAAATGAGTGGTTTAAAAACAAAACAAGAAAGAACACTTTTGGTTATTTTTCCACGTGAAGGGGTAGACAACAGGCCGGGCTGTGTCAGGCAGGGGCTCTTTGGCACCACTATCACAGTTTGTAAAGTTTTCTTATTTTAATACGTTATCAGTTTTCTGAGTCTTCCTGCCATTCTCTTGGGTAACTTTTAACATTTGTACAGTCAGCTCTGGGTCTACTGTCTAGTGGGTAGAAAGACATTAAACAAACCAGCACGCAAAGATGCAGTTAAAAGCTAAAGGTAGGAGTAGAAAGAATACTTGGGAAATCATCATTAATAAAAGTTCTCTTAAACTTAAAAGGCAATGTTAAACTAGTCACAGATGGTATTTCCAAAGCAAAAGTAAATGCTCAAAGAAAATGAAGCACGACCTAAGGAGATCCGGCATGAGGAGTTGTATAGTCTGTAACCTATGCAGTTCTGTTTTGGCAACTATATAACTAAGCAAAGTCTGAATATATGAGCCTCGCTACATAGTCTCTGTTTTAGAAAAGTGATGAATAACAGACGGCAACTACAATAAGTATTAAAAGCTGATCATATCAGACATGGACAGCTGAAGAACACATTAACACAGGTCCGGTAGGTGGCGCTGTGCAACTAAAAATTAAAACTATACCATTGCTTCGTAAGTAATAAAATATTGAATTATGCCACATTCATTTTATGTAACTCTAATCATATTTAACTGACCTTAATGTCAGCTATTACCATCACAAAATTAAGAAACCTATACTTTTCTTGAAAAAAACTTTTATAGTGGTTAAAAAATAGGCTGGGTGAAATAAAATGAGATGAAACAATATATAATACAGGCTATTTTAAGCATAAATTGTATAGAAATTACCGAATGTGGCAAATGCATGAAAACAGGGGGCTTGTGGGAAGGCTGCCCCGGGGTATGGCTGGTGACAACCTCCGCCGGCCTCAGAAGGGAAGGGCCTGAGGAAGCCAGCGCTCCGCTGCCAGGTCCTGCTCTGCACTCACGTTCAAGTGCGAACTCACACAGCAGAGGCGCTCGGTGGTCCAGTGATGGAGAAGTGGTGTCCTAAGGCTAACGCCCACCTTCCCGTTGGAACACCGGGCATTGGCAGCGGTGCGGAGGGACAGAGGGCCAGGTCTGAGGTGCAGGCACAGCCTGGCTTAGGACGG